GAAGTATTTTTCTGAACCAAGCCTGGTTGCATGAGAATGCTTCAGAACTGGGAGTTGGACATTGTGGACTTGACACCACCATCAATGGGCCTAGAGAATGCCCTCCGCTCCTGAAGCAGCTGCTCCTCTCCTTTCCGGCTTGGGACCACTCGGTGTTTTTCCTGCCTGCTTGCTTCTCAGTGTGGTCTGCGGGAGTTGGTTTTGAGGGCAATTCACAGCGTAATGCCCCTCTTCTCCACACTTGAAACAAGAGAGCTTCCTCTGTCTTTGATCCCGGCCACTTTCCTTTTGTCTCCAGCCTGATCCTCTTGCTATTGGCCCGGATGATTTCGTGGGGGGTCGGGTGCTCGTGCCTTTTCTTTTTATAGACATCCAATGAGTCTCCACTGTCCCTGCAAGGCTGATTCACTCCTTCAGGGTTTTGGGGTTGCCCCTGGATAGCGAGTGTTCCAAAAGGTCAGGTTGTAACCCCTTCCGAAAACACTGGATCTTTAACACTTCAGGCCAGTCTCGGAGTTTCCCAGCAAGCCTCCTGAATTCCAATGTGTAATCCGATACCATTCAATTACCTTGTTTAATTTGCTTGATGCTTGTCTTTGCCCTTATGATAGCAAAAGGATCCTCAAAGCGCTCACGCAGAGCACTCAAGAAATTGTTAAAATTTGTTAGTTCAGCCGCTTTGGGTTTATACATCTTCACCACCCATTTTGCTGCCTGGTCTTCAAGGGAATATGACACATAAGCCACTCTCTCCGCATCATTTTGAAATAGGTGGCCACTTCTCTCCATGCAAATTCTCACTTGTGTCAAGAAGCATGCCAGCTGACCTGGGTTCCCCCTGAATTTCATCTTCAGCCCCCACTGTCGTAAGAGGGTTCCTACCTCTCAGTTGCTCCTGTTCAAGGGAACCATCTCCTTCCCTCCACTGGGCTCCAATTCCTCACCTGCCTCCTCACTGTCCCCAGAAGTTGTTTGGGAGTCCTTGGCCTGACGGTCTCGGTCTCTACTGCCCAGTACTTTTCCTAGCATCCTTTTCAATGACTTCAGTCCATCCATCATGGAATCAAGCTTTGCTTCCACTTTATCCACACGACCCCGCAATATGGCGACCTGGGGCTCCAGCTCTCTCTTCCCCTTTGAATCTTGAGACTCTTCTACACCATCCCTGACTCTCACTGACCACTTCGGCTTGGGGATCTTTTTGGAGGATAAAGCAACATCCAATTCTTGCAATTTCCCGGACTCTTGGAACTGAGTCCACCGCCTGCCCAACCACTGTTCTTTAGGTCTCACTGCCATCTCTAGCTCACATAACTCCTCTCGATGCAAATCCAACGGACTTTCCTCAGTGAACATTTTGTTCCAGGCAAAATGCAAAAGGGCAGTTCCAGCTATATGTAAGAACTGTGGTACTCATTTCCCAATGAAAGCAACTCTCATTGAAACCAATGCAGGTTCAAAGGACAGTTCATTTATTGGAAAGTAATGTATAGCTCTAGAAGCATAGCTAGAACTCTCTTGTGCATGTTGAAGATGTTCTCAGGTTCCCACGTTGGTATGACCTCGGGTACTCTTGAGACCCAGATAATGGCCTATCTGCGCCTAACGGTTAACATTCCAAACTTCTCTCCCTTCCTCCCCTTCTACTGTGATGACAGAAATGAAGCAAGCAAACTAGCAATGCAAGTGATTGGTTGTGAGAATTCTGACAGTGTCTTTCTTGCTTCCTGATCGTGGTTCCCATGTGACTGTGGGATACCCAGGTGCCTGTAGCTGGTCTGTATGTCATTCCACCAGTTTTAACTACCTTCCCTCTCTTTAACTACCATTTGGCCACACTTCTCCAGTCTGAGGAACACCCCAATGTCCTCACTTTATATCCGTGTCAGGTGGATCACCGAGTTTATGTCTTGTTTGCTCTTAGCATACAGCTTGATGTCATCCATGTAGAGGAGGTGGCTGATGGTAGTTCCTCTGTCTCTGTCTCTGTCTCTGTCTCTGTCTCTGTCTCTCTCTCTGTCTCTCTCTCTGTCTCTCTCTCTCTCTCTCATTAAAGAAAATTTTAACAAGATAAATGCAATACAAGTATTAGAAAAGAAACGAAGAAAGTAAAGAAGAATAGTGGAAAAGTTAAAAAGAAAAAGAAAAAAGAGAGAAAAGGTTATAAAGAAGCGGCTTCCAATATTTTTGACAGTGGTTATAATTGCATTTATATTTTACTCTTTCTCTCTGAGAAATTCATAATTTCCTACTTCCATAAGCTATCCTATCTGTTCATCAAACCCATACATCACAAATTCATTTTTTCCTTTCTACAGCAA